TGTTCAGTCTGTCCTAGTCCTTAGGCTGCCATCCCTCTGCTCGCTGGACTTAGCCAGTGTTTGGATTATTGAACAGCTGGTTTCCGAGTAACGAGTGACCTGAGTTAAGAATGTTTTACTTGGAGTTCGCTGCAGAGGTACCGCCTGAGACAAGGGCTTCCAGGGAGATGGTTTCTTTTGGGAAGTGGTCCCAAAGCGGAGGGGAGGGGAGGGACTGGGAAGAGTGAAGCAGGTAAGGAAGGAAAGCAGTACAAGCATATGTTATCAAGACGACCACCATCATAGGAATTGAGACTTTGGGACCCTGTTAGGGACTCTCCACGGAGCTGGGTGGAGCGTGCCTCTGGGTCATCTGCCCTGGAAATGGAAGGAGGCTGCCGCGCTCCTGCACCGCCTGCTGTCCTCTTTGGGGATGGCTGCTCTCTGGAGCGTTAACGCCACTGTGCCCCCAGATCTGCCAAGTGTCAGGATGTCTGCGTGGTTCACAGGCGGTTCTGTGACACAGGCTGACACCACCCAAAGGGGACAGCTGCAGCCCCTCTGGGACACACCTAAAGGACAGTGGTGACAGTAAATTCTCCCATCATACAGAACTTCAGACAGTTCACTCGCCTGGAAGGAGACCTATAATTATATACCAGTGGTGGCCAATGGCATCGCTGGGTGGTCAGGACTGGGAAGGAATGTGATTGCTGAACTGGTAACAAAGAAATCTGAGGAAGGAGTATGTGCACAGACCTCACAGAGCGGGCCAAGTACACGAAGACGTTTGTGCCCCGTGTGAATGCCCACCACAGGCTGAGCTCCACAGACAGGGACTCGGGTAATCAGTGGACAGGATGGTCCTTCCTGTGCACACCAGCCAGGCTCTTTCTCCAGCCACCCCTGCTCTCACCCAGGGGGTGCACAAACAACGTGGCCGTGGTGGCAGGGATGAGGTCACCCGTGGTTTCCGCTACACAGACTCCCACTCACCGGGGCCTAACTGGCTTTGGTCACTGCTGGTGCCTTATCTGCCCACAGCAGAGACCAGCGCTGAGCCCCTCCATTTCCCAGATGATCAGCCAACTGCGTGCCTGGCGGCGGGTTGATTGCACTGGACCGCTTCCGTCATGGAAGGGGCAACGCTTTGTTTTTACTGGAATAAACCCTTAGTGTGGAGCCTGATTTACCTTCCCTGGGAACAGTGCTGCTGCCAGAACTGCTCTCTGTGGACGCACAAGACGCCTTACCCACTGTTGCATATCCTGCACGGCCCTGCTTCGGATCAGTGACGTCAGTTCACAGCGAAAGCGGTGTGGCCACGGGCTCACATTCATGGAATTCACGGTCTCGCCCTGTCTCCAACCACGCTGAAGCAGCCGGCCTCACAGGACGGTGAAAGGGCTTGTGAAGACTCTGTCACAGCAGCCAGCACGGCGGCAATACTTTGCAGGAGCGGGGCAGGCGTCCTCAGAAGGATCCGTCAGCTCCAACTCAGCATCCAACACGAGGTGCGGTTCACCATAGCTGGGGCCCATGGGGCCGGGAATCAGGGGAGCAGCACCCCTCACTGGGACCCCTGCTAGTGACTCACTAGCAGAATTCTGCTTCCTGTTCCCACAACTCCTTGCCCCCCAATCCTAGAGGCCTTAGCTCCAGAGGGAGGAATGTTGCCACCAGGAGACACAACGACGACTGCACTCAACTGAAAGCTGAGGTGGCCACCTGGTCACTCTGGCCTCCTCAGGCCTCTGAGCCACCAGGTGAGAATGAGAGTTATGGTGTCGGCTGTGGTGACTGATCGTGACTACCAACGGCAGACTGGACTGCCCGTCCACAGTGGAAGTGAGGAGCACATCTGAAATACAGGAGGCCCCCTGGGGATCTCCTAGGGCATCTCCTAGTGCTACACCGCCCTATGATTAAGGTCGATGGAAAGTCACAGCCCGATCCAGGCAGGATGAGTGAGAGCCCAGGCCCCCTCCGAGTAAAGAACCACAGCCAGCTGAGGTGCGGGCTGAAGACTCAGCCATCGCAGAGCCGGGAGCACAAGACGGTAGTTGTGATGCCAGCTACGAGCTCAGGAAGAGTTACGGAAACAAGGACTTACAATGGCCACAAATTTTGTTATAAACTTGTTTGTGTGTCTATACCTATATTAAGCAAATATCTTTGTTTTCTTTCTCCTTGCTTCCTTATTGCATCGTGTAAGATGCACAGACTTCATGGCAGTATGGTCATGCGCCATGTAACAGAAGGGTACCTGGAAATCCGCATACGTGTGATTCAAGTTCACTGAATACTGCCTGAGGGTTTCCCCACAGGTTTCAGCAAAGCACATTCCTGTGTATGAGAGGGCTGGTTCCCTGGAGAGGACTTCTTTCCTCAAAGGTGGTTTGGAGGACAAGCAAGACTCATAAATGATCTCTTTGGCACAAATGCCTTAGAAGAGGAAGGATAAAAAATGGAAATAGCACGGGATTCGGGGCTCACTGTTGTGTGACATTAAGGAAAACGTTCTGCCTCTCTCGCTACGTCTCACTTCCCCACAGAGAAGACTCCCTACTGAATCCTCCGGAGCCCACCTCCTGGGCGTCCTGCGCCATCACCATCGCTCACGAATGTGTGATCTGGAGCAAATGCGCCTCCGTGTGCCTCGGTTTCACTGCCTGTTTGATAACAGTAACAATGATTCAGGTTACCACGTGTCCTGGTTTGCCGGGGACAGTCCTGGCTGATGGTGGTGGTTCTGCTGTCATTATCAGCCGTGTCCTGGTTGCAGTGACAAACACAGGCTCACTCCAATAATAGGAGCTGTACGTTGCGGGGTGGCTGAGAGTATTGTTCGTTATTACGTACAAGGTGTTTCAGCCGGTCAGCCATGCTCCTATTCGCCCTTTCGGTGCATTTCAGTGCCCGCTATGCTCCGGGCACTTTCCTAGGGGCCAGGCTCTGTGAGAAACTGGGCAGACGCCCGGGGCCTGGGGCCTGGCACAGTGGTTAAGTGCACGGGCTCGGATGCCAGACAGCACGGGCATGAATCCTGGCCCTGCTCTCCGTGTGACCTGGAGCAAGTCATTGGAGTTCACACCCGTCCTGTGGCTCCTTGTGAAGATGGAATGGGTTCATACTTGCAAAGCACTGGGACCAATACCTGGTGCACAGTAAGTGCTACATAAATATCCATCACACAAAATAAACGAATTTTCATTCTAAATGTTAGGAAGATTGGATGCATCGGTGTATGCAATGGTTGCATGCATTTACACCAGAGATTTGCCTTTTTGAAACTGAAGTTGTTCATGCTGGTGGTCTTCCCAAAACAAAGGAAGCCTCCTCCAGAGGGGGCGTGGGGGCTCCTCTGCTTCCAGAGCCAGAGGCCTCCCAGGAATTTTAGGGGGCATTTTTTTCCTAATTAAAAAAAATGACAGTCCCCTCATAGTCTCACAACCACCATAGAAAGTAGTTATTGTTACCACGGTTCTTGTAAGGAAACTGAGGCTCAAAGAACCTCCCGGGGCACAAAGCTTTGGTCTTTCTGGTCAAGTATTTATCAAAGGTGTTAAAGTGCGTGTGGCATTGCAGTGTTCCTGAGGGGACAGCAAGAGAACTTCCCTCGCCACATGAGGCCAGAACAAGTCGGAAAAACACATTATCAAAGCCAACTCGAAGAAGCGAGATCGTTCCATTCCTGGAGACAGAAAAGTCAAAATCAGTGAAACCTTAACTGGAAGGCAGGCAGCCTAGCGCCGCGGACCACAGATAGAAAATGACGCTGAGGGGGAGAGCAGAGACCGGGGAGCCAGCCCTCATCTCCCGTGGGCTGGGACAGCACTCCCACCGGCTGTGCACCTGCAGCCTGACTCTGTCTGTCCACCCACCAGCTCCCAGGCTTCGACAGGCGTGGCCCATCACTGCTTCCAACACCCATAAGCACAGGAACGCTTCCTTTTATGTCAAGAGACTCCAAACATTTCAAATGGCTAATGCATGTGGGTCTAATTCCGGCCTCGCCGGCGGAAGGCCGAGCGCACTGACAACCGTTCGCTGTAATGTACGCGCATCCGTGCACTTAGCGACGCTTCCGCCCTCACCTCTCAGAACGTGCAGAATGTGCTGCTAACTATCCTAATCCTTTTTACTCTGAGTGCCTTTCTCCCTGTGGAGCCTGGCTCCAGGGAGAGTGCTCTCCTCTAATGGCCTATTTTTAAGGGTCTCCTTGAGACAGGAGATGACAGGTAGGCTTTAAATCTAATGACATCAGAGCCGGTCCCCATTTTAAACATTTCCAATACGCGCAGAAAGAGGCCCGGAACAACGGACTAGCCTCACCTTTGGTTTCTCGGGGGGGCCTGGGGAATTCCGATTGCGGAGATGCCCTTCTAACTCGGGGTGGGCTGCAGCTGCGGATGGCGCATCCAACTGGGGGCTGATGGCCCTGACGCAGGTCACAAGCCTTTGTGACCCATCTCCCAGTCTCCTCTGGGTGTCTGTTTTCCACAGATCCAGAAGGAGAAGCATAAAGAGCGAAGACGGCAAAAGTCTCAGAACTGTTAAACAGAGGGAAAAAAAACATCCTCTTTAAATATTCATCATTTTCAATGTATAATTTTTAAGGATGCAGTGATGTTGCTTGACAGCTCTCACGAGGAAAACCTCCTTTCCTGTCTCGATTCTGTTCCCGAACTTCTCTTAGCTGAAGTCAGAGGTGAGCGCACGCCCGACTCCAGCCCCACTGGTCGCCCACGGCAGAGGCGTTCCAGAGGCCCCACTGCCAGCGCTGCTGTCTCGGCCTCCCGCTGCCCTCACCGACCACCACGGGGACGATCCGGGGCCCGCGGAGCCGCCGCCCGCACCCACCCTGCCGTCAGCCTCGCAGCCCTGGTCACGGCGCTTTGTTGGCCTTCTTGGCCTGAGGGCCCGACCCGCAAGCCCTGATGCCTGCACCTGCAGCCGAGGTTCCTGAGCCTCCCGCGGTGGGGACCCTGCTGCCCCGCCGCCGCCCTCCCCCTCCCGAGTGCACCAGAACCGCCACCCAGAACGCGAGGCCGCCCTCAACAAACACATAGACCCGGAGCTCCCCGCCTTCTACGTGTACCTGTCCACGGCCTTCTGCCTCGGCCGCCAGGAAGTGCCCTTGAAGCGCTTCGCTGCCTTCTGGTTGAGGCAGCGGAGGGAGGAATGGGAGCAGGCCCAGGTGCTGATGCGGCTGCAGAACCAGCGAGGGGAGCGCGCCCGCCTGGGCGGTATCCCCAGGCCTGACCGATGCCGCTGGGAGAGCGGCCAGAGGGCCATGAAGTCCGCCTTGCACATAGAGAGGATGGTGAGCCAGGGCCTGCCCAATCTATCCGCCCCCCCCCCCTCTACCACCAAGAACGACGCCCACCTGTATGATTTCCTGGAGCATCACCACCTGCGCCAGGATGCGAAGTTCATCAGAAACTTGGCAGCCAGTATCATCATCAGCCCGAGCAAGCTGGGGGCCACGGAATCCAGCCTGGCAGAGCTACCTCTTTGACAAGCTCACCCAGGGGACAGCAAGAACTGAGCCCGGACTGCCTTCACGGTAGCCAGGGGTGACTTCCGCTGGTCACCTGACGAGCATGCCTACTGCCACATTGCCCTTGCAAAAAGTTCACTTCAGTTCTTACGTTCAAATCTACCATTTCTTCCAATAAAGTTATTGGTTCCTAAATAAAAATAAATACATAAAGTCAGAGGTGACGTTCCATTGAGTAACTCTGTGCTCTGCTCCACATCCTGTGGTTCTCTCAGTGGGCGGCTCTGGAGGAGTCGTTAACCTGGGGCTGGGTGTTACTCCTTTTGACATTGGGTTGTGAATTTCTAACTCCTGAAATGCCAGGCAAACACACAGCGAGAGAAGAAAAGGACAAAAGGATGAAGGGCCTGAGAAAATGTGCTTTTTCCCTGGCAGCCCTTTCTGTCTTTGTGCTACGGGGAAATGCTGACCCAACAAAAAACCCATTCATAATCAGCGTTAGTGCAACCGGGAGCTTCAGGGAATATTGGCCATGCACTGAGGTGAGAGTGGCAAATCTGGATACATTTTGCAAAAGGGAAGGCACAGGATTTTAAAAAGTTGAAATACAGAATGTCATATATTAGTTGCTAAAGTCATAGGGTTCTACTTAAGGCAATTTTAAAAACAAATGTTGTAAGAATACACTTCTTTTTTTATTTTTTTAAAGATTTTTATTTATTTATTTTTAGAGAGGGAAGGGAGGGAGATAGAGAGAGAGAGAAACATCAATGTGTGGTTGCTGGGGGTTATGACCTGCAACCCAGGAATGTACTCTGGCTGGGAATCGAACCTGGGACACTTTGGTTCCCAGCCCGCGCTCAATCCACTGAGCTACGCCAGCCAGGAAGGATATAGTTCTTTTAAAACACATTTATATTACCCACACATTTGGGGAAGGGATTCACTCTTGCTGGAAATGGTCAAAGCCACACAGTCTCACTGGTCTGTGCCCTGCTGTTAATGCCTGATGGTGAGAGAAGTCCAGGTGAGAGGCAGGTATTTCAGCGTCCTCACCCAGCCGGCCATGCTAGTCTTGAGTACTTTCTCCAGGGCATCACATTTTCCCTGTCACCTAATGTAGCTTCCCGAGTGAAATTCCTACCCTCTCCCGTGCTTCGCCGGGGGCGGAGGAGGCTGGAGCTGTGCGTGGACGGGGCTGGAGTGGAGCCAGCGTGGGAACTCACACGGAAACCTTCTGAGTTATGCGACTTGCCTTCCTGCTCCAGCTGCAGCACATCCGGATTGCAACTTGGTTTCCCTTTGGCAACGAGATGCATCCAGTTGGCCACAAGGCGCTCACCCTGCATTTACTGCTCACCTGCAGGCAAATCAGCCTGTTTCCCGGCTCTAAAAACACTGTGCCCTGAGGTGGTGCTTCTAGAACATGTAAGAAAGTCAGACACACAGCACATGAGGGAGCTTCTGGGGCTTCCTGAGACCCAGGAGCAGGGCACTAGGTCATGGTGTACTCAATAATCAAGTTTTTATTACATAGCTCTGTACCATTTACGACACTATTTTTGTGCCTGCTCTGGCAATACGTACAGTATATGAAATTATTTTGACCAGCATCATAATAGTTGAGAGGCAGCCTCGTTTGGTGGGAAAGACATCGCTTTGGGTAGAGCAGAGCTGTGTTGGTATCTCGGGTGCCTCCCCTGAGCAACACTGGGAACTCAGGAACGGAACACTGTGTCCCCCCCACCCCTGCCCCGGCCCATCCCGCACCGGCAAACGGGATACCCAGCCACGCAGAGTGAGAGAGACCCAACTCAAGTTCATACGAGAGCCCCTGGTCTGAGGGACAACACACTTTGAAAGCCAGAGACCGAGCGGCTATTATCATCTTCCTGCGTTTAGTCTCCTTAGAGGGGACACCAATTTCCCACTCATACTGGGGTCTTGCTTTCCTTTTTCTGTCTGTGTCAGAATCTTAAAATGACTTCCTTGACAAAATCTCCTGTCTTGGGTTATTAATGCTTTTTATTTCTGTTATGAATAAAGTTTTTAGTCATAAAGTTGCACTCCGTGCAGCCATGCATTTGATGTATGTGGAGTTCTCTTACACTCTGCAACTCTAACTTTTTCATTTCCTTCATTTTGGTTGTGTTTGTTGACTTTCCTAAGTATCCAGATAGTAGTGTTAACAGGGACATGAGCCAAAGCAAGTGCAACTTGGCTCTGTCCTCTAATCACCTATTACACTGCAGTCTTCCCTTCCCTGCCCTTGGAGGAAATCTGTGGCGGGTCACGTGATTTCTGTAGCTGCTCTTGGGTGTGATACTAGTAGTTGTTAACCATTGTTCCAGCTGGGCCCCCAGCCCAAGGGCTGGAGCAGGCTGCCGGACGCCCCCTGCTGGGCCAGACAAAACTTCTTTAATTTCTGTATCTTGAGGCCTATGGTGGATCCCAGGAGAAAGAAGGGTCATGGCAGGTGTGTGTGTGTGTGTGTGTGTGTGTGTGTGTGTGTGTGTGTGTGTGTGTGTGAGAGAGAGAGAGAGAGAGACAAACGGGGGGGGGAGGGCTGGGGCATTTACCACCTGGTACAGAAGGACTTGTGGATTAATATTTTGAGGATCGGTCCAGCCATGCTGTTGTGGACTGGCTCGGGATTGGCCTTATCCTTAGGTATTAAAGAAACCCTCTGGTCATGTCTAGTGCCAAGTTACTGGTCACAGTTTTATCTCATACGTTAGTCAAAAGGCTCACCTTCACTTACTATCGAAGCCTTCCCTCTACCCCAGCTTGAGGAAAGGAGAGAAGACGGGGTCTCTCTTTGGCCGGTCTGCTCCTGGTTCCCAGGCACCGAGATGACTGGCAGCTTCTGGTTGGACAGGGCTGGGGGTCCGGGAGGCAATTGATTGGAACCAGGAAAGGTGGAACTTCACAGGCACAGGTGCACTGGTGTCTGTGGCAGTCACAGTAAAGAATACTGTCTGTAAAACGCAGATGGCTACTGCCTACATTCCTGAGACTGTAGTAAATAAATCCGAGCGTGTTAACTGGGGCTGTGGTTGTGAGAATAGACCGGTAAGTAGCCGCAGGTTCGAATGTCGATATCGCCACCAACTGGGCACAGATTGTAATGCAGCACCTTACTGCAAGTTGGGCAATAATCAATCTGTCATTTTAAAAATACCATTATTTTTTCCTTTTTAAATATATTTGATTGATTATGCTATTAAAGTTGTCCCATTTTTTTCTTCTCTTTATTTCCCCTCCACTTTGCACCCCTCCTCCCACCAGCATCCCCCCCCCCCTTACTTCATATCCGTGGGTCGTCATACATACAAGTTCTTTGGCTTCTCCATTTCTTATACTATTCTTACACTTCCCCTTTTATTTTGTACGTACCATTTATGCTTCTTATTCCCTGTACCTTTTCCCCCATTCTCGCCCATCCACCACCCCATTGATAACCCCCCATGTGATTTCCATTTCTGTGATTCTGTTCCTGTTCTAGTTGTTTGCTTAGTTTGTTTTTGTTTTTGTTTGTTTTTATTTTAGGTTCAGTTGTTGGTAGTTGTGAGTTTGTTGTCATTTTACTGTTCATATGTTGTGGGGTTTTTTTTAATGGAACACTTCATGAGTTTGCGTGTCATCCTTGCACAGGGGCCTTGCTGATCTTCTCCGTATCATTCCAATTTTAGTATGCGTGCTGCCGAAGTGAGCACTACTGTTCATATTTTTTATCATCTCCTTTTTCTTAGATAAGTCCCTTTAACATTTCATATAATGAGGGCTTGGTGATGATGAACTCCTTCAACTTGACCTTATCTGGGAAGCTCTTTATCTGCCCTTTCATTCTAAATGATAGCTTTGCTGGATAGAGCAATATTGGATGTAGGTCCTTGACTTTCATGACACCTTTGAAAAATAGTTTGGTTAAAAAAAAATAAGAGAAAAAGGAGTAGCTAAAATGTGTGTGTGTGTACTTAAAATAATTTTCAATAATCAAACCACATTACCAAGGAACACGTATCATTCAGAAAAAAAGAAAGAGAAAGAAAACAGAATCCCTCAACCCTAATACAAATATGGTTAAAATTTTGGTGTATTTTCTTCTAACATTTTCCTGTAATAACAATGATAATTACTACGTGTCACAGAGCAAGCTAAATGCTGTATGCCAAACACTTTTCTAAATGTTTTTAAAATATTCTCTCAACAGGTAAGTGAATAAATAAAATGTAGTATAAACATAAAATGGAATATTATTCAATGATAAAAAGAATGAGAATTCTGGTATGTTAGGATCCACCCTGCCTGTTTTCAGAAGCTGTAACCACACACTCCCCGCCACCCCCCACCCCCACGGCTAAGACTGAGTGAGCGACCTTCAAACCAGAAACCACTAAGGAGACAAAGCTTATCTTCCTGGCAGGGGCTCTGCTTCTGCTCCTCTTTCTTCACCCTGCCTGGCCCCCAATGCTTGATTGGTTAGCCAATGACGGGTAAGATTTCCCAAGGCGGGAATGATCTAAGACAGGAAGGATCATGGGGAGTCCCCACGGAAGGACTTAGCAAAAGGGGGTAATGGACCCTCGCCCCTTGGCTTTGACATAGCCTGAGTCCTCATTCTTCAAGAAGTCTCATAATCTCTTGGCTGCCTTACTTCCCCTGCCTGACTTAAGCCTGAAACAATGCCTTAAGCCTGAAACAATGCCTTAAGCCTGAAACAATGCTGGTGGTGGGTGTCACCCTGTGCTGGAAAGGGCGGGTTCCCTAGGGTGATCAGGCCTAAGAAAGAATATGTAAAATCCTGTGAAACCTGCTTTGTTTAGAATGCTCTCAATTACATGATAAGGGTCCAAGCAAGAAGTGAGTTTGTTCCTCAAAGTTTTGTAGCCCTTTAGCTAACAGACCCTGACTCAGAAAAGCCCTCATAGTACTTTGTATGTTATCTATTGTTTGATCCTTACTGCCTGACAATGATTAATGAGCTTTACCTGTATTCCTGTGCAAAATGAACCCAATAAAAGCCCATTGAGGAAAAGGCTCTTGGCCCTTCTCCTTTGAGAGATTGGCCACCTTTCCTCCCCAAACAGATCATGTCTTAGTAGACTTATTCTCATCCGTGGGGGCCGGGGGGCTCTGCAGGTGGAGCCCCCACACACTGGTATATGCTACAAAATGGATAAACCATGAACACATTATGCCAAATGAAATAATACACACACAAAAAAGCAAATATTGTATAATTCCACTTATAGGAGGTACCTACAATAGGCAAACTCAGAGAGACAGAAAGTAGAACAGAATTTTGTGGGGGCTGGGGGAAGGGGAGTGTGGGGGTTAGTGTTTAATGAGTAGAGATCATCTTTTGGGGATGATCAAAACTTTTGGAAATGGACAGTGGTGATACCTGTACCATATTATGAATGTACTTAATGTCATTCAATTATGCACTTAAAACTGGTTAAAGTGGTAAATTCTGTTTACCACAAAAACATAGTCTCATTCAAAATTCCTAACAATCCCATCAGATGAGTTACACAACTAATAAATGGATCTGAACACACAGGCTGACTAGCAAGCCCAGATTCTTTGCCCGTATTTTTAAAAAGAGAGAGGACATTACAATGAGACTCCACATACCCATCACTTGGCCTCATCGATGATCTGTTTATGGCCAATCTTATCTGTTCCTCCACCCACTCTGTGCCCTACCCCTCGGGTATTTGGATGCAATTCCCAGACATCACTAATCTGTAAATATTTCAGCATACATCTCTAAAAGAATAACTTTTAAAAATAAATAAATAAAAGAATAATTTTTAAAAGCCTTGTAACACCTAAAATCTAACAATTTCTTAATCTCATTGATTATTCAGTTACTGTTCACATTTCCCAACTTGCCTAATGATTTTTTAGGTTTGTTTGAATTAGGCCTCACACACAGCCCACGCAGTGCATTGGTCCTTACGTTCCTGTCCTCCAACACGAAGTCCCCCCTCCATCTTTTGTTCTTGTTGTCCTGAGAGTTTTTGTTTGTTTGTTGTAATGATGTGCATTGTGTGTCCTGTGGAGTTTCTCCCAGTGCAGATTTTGCTCTTTTTACCCTACAGAGTCAGTCCATGTGTCCCTTTGTCCCCTGTGACTCCCGGCACTGGTGGCTCTATCTGGAGGCTTCACCAGTGGCAGGATCTGCTGTTTTGGCAGGAGGAGCTCACAGGTGTTGTGCTCTGTGTTCCCAGCAGGAGGCCAGAATATCCAGATGCCTGTTTTGTTGTTCATGATGTTAGCTGTCATTGATAATTATTGCCCAGATCATGAATTCACCCAGGACTGGGAAGGATGATGTGCCCTCTTTATGTATTAGCTGGAATCCTTTTAAACAGAAAATTTTTTTTTTCTTTCTCAAATTGTTGGTTACCAGGCTACAGGTTGTACAGGAAGAGTAAGATGAAGACTTGAATATTTCCCTTTATTTACCAGTTTTCAAAATGCTGTGTTTCCTGGCAGTGCATTTTATTTGCCTTAATAGCATTGTGGACTCACGCATTTGAAGCTATTTGATGTGCTTCAATCTGCTGTAGTTACTGTGGCAGGCAGAATAATGCTCCTCAAAGATGCCCATGCCCGAATCCCAGGAACCTGTGACTGTGTTATGTCACAGGGCAAAGAGGAATTAAGGGAGCAAATGGAAGGAAGAACGCTAATCAGCTGACCGTGCAATAGGGAGGTATCCTGGACAGTCTGAGTGGGCCCAGTGCACTACTTTCTAAGGGCCCTTAAAAGCGAAAGAGGGAGGCAGAAGAGGGGGTCGGACTGATGCAGTATGAGAGCTCTGCCATTTCTGGCTTTGAAGCTGGAGGAGATTGGTCATGATCCAAGGAAACAGCCTCTAAAAGCTGGAAAAGACAAGGAAACGGTTTCCTCTAAAGCTTCCCACAAGGAATGCAGCCCTGCTGACATCTTGACTTTTAGCTCAGCGAGCCCCGTGTTGGCCTTGTAATCTACAAAACTGCAACTTGGTGCTGTTTCAAGGCACTAAATTGTAGTTCTTTGTTACAGCAACAATAGAGAACTAATACGGTCGCTATCCTTACTGATGCTTCTATCAACCCACCTTTGTTCAGTGTTCTCTTTTTCCAAGGGACTCCCAAGTCCTTGAGTTGTCTTGCTTTCTGGTATGAGAAGATGTTCTTGGCCCACCTACTGCTAAACTCTCAGAATTTGACTTCTTCCTCAACTTCCTTTGTTCTCTTGATGAAAACCAGGGATTTTAAGTAGAAAAATCCAGTCTTTACCCTTTCTGTCTTCTCTGCAGCACTTAACACTACTCTCATTCTTTTCCTAAAGACACCGGTCCTCCCTCATGACCACAGAATTCGGTCCCAGTGCCCTTCTTGGGTCTTCCTGCCTAACCCCCTATGACTGTCCTCAGGCCTCATTTCTTCTCTGTCCACTCTCTTCCTCAGTAGTTCCACCCGTGCCATGCCTGCCCCCCGCACCAATGGCTCCCGAACCTGTGTTCCTCCTCCTCCTCCTCTCCCTGTCTCCTGGCACCAGGACCTCATTTCTGACTACTTGCTGCTAGTCACTACCCATACAAACTGCCTGTACCTCAAGTCCATGGCAAAACCATTACTTCCATTCTCCCCCAACTCTTCACTATTTCTGTTCTTTCTGACACTTAGATTTAAACTCTGGGTGCTATTTAAAAGCCTTGCTTGCTCTGAAACTCTCCTAAAACAAGAACTAGAACTGCCACCATATACTTAATTTTGATATTTTAATTTTTGATTTGTTTTTGCCATAAGAAACAAGATTTTTCAAGTTTGTTTTGCCCTTGAGCCTCCACCCATGGCCACAGACCCCCACAAGAAGCCATGTAATCGTCAGAGGTTGCTTCGCGAGCAGGGGGTTAGCTGGTGTGAAGATCTAACAGTCTCCAGATAAACTGGTGTAGGGGTGTGGCCTTCTTATGGGGTTACAACACTTGACGTCTTTGCCAAGGCTGCCTCTTCACAGAGAAAGCTCAGGTGGTCCCTGCCAATGCTTCAGCAGCTTTCCCCTCTATGCCCCATGTCGACCAGCCCTATTTCATTTTCCTTAGAAATATTAATATCTTTAATCTGGTGACTGGCAAAATTACTGACACATAAAATCAAAAAATTAACTGAGATGGATATCTACTAAACTAGCAGTATATCTAGCTAGGAGACAAGCTATAAATTTCTATTTAACACTTGGTATAACCCTTAAGAAATACCACTTGAAAACAACTATTTGTGTATGTGCTGTGATGCTCTATGTGGGCCTTAAAGCCTGTGCATCACTGTGGAGCCTAGCGCCCTCTTGTGTTCACTGCAGAGCACAGCCGGCTCTCCATGATTTCCCAATCATACATCTGAACACATCTTTTATTTTGCAGGAACTGAGAAAAGAACGTGAAATTCCTTAGATGCCGTATGTTCTCTCTCATCCTACTTTTTCCAACACTCTCATTTGCACATTCGTTCCCTCCAGATCTCCCATATTATATTGACCCTGTAACTTGTTAGTAAATCATCTAAATTTACATCCATGTAATTTTTGTTCTTCTAAGAAACGCTATCTTATATGAGGCATCAAAGCACGCTGTACGGGTGGGCGGATGGGACGGGAGAGGACGCAGTCAGGTGCGTCAGGTGATACAGGCAGTGGGGGAGGCGGGGCCGATGAGGAA